CAAAATGCGATGTCCCCATCGCACGACTAGTTATCACTCGGAGGTACGCAGACCTTGGTCCATCAACTGAGTAGACGGATGCCGGCCCATCAGCCCCAAAAAGGAAGGGTGATCAGTCCTCCCCCTGCTGATAACTCACCTCATCCCCTAATCCAGTTCGACCTTTTGCTGCTTACGAGACGGGCGTCATCACAAAGGTACCATCCCACATCTGGAAGGTAGGTCCAGTCCCAGCCTCCCAGGACCCCATCTTGCCGTAAGTGCCTTCTCGCGAATCGCTCCTCCCGAGTGGTGTTTTCTTGGATCCGGCCTCTTCCTTTCAAGAGAGTTGGGGCTCTCTATTAGTCTGCGAGTGCAGTTACGAAGACCTCGCGGTTAGTCCCGGAACGGTTGTAATGATCCGGCAGGGCGGTGTCACTCGCCCTGTGGTGGTTGCGGCTTCCACCTGCTACCACGCCCGATTCCTCCCTGTGGACAGTGCTTCTCAACTTAACGCGAGCGGCCGTGGTCCATTCCAAGCGGTCGTGCCGCCTCTCTATGGCATGGCGTGTGGCTGGGGAGAAAAAATGAGACATAGGAAAAAGAATGGCTCTCTCGCCCGTTTAGCACCACGCCCTTGACGTTTAGGTTTCAACATGAGGCGCAGTTTGAACTCCCCGACTAGAGCTCGTTGTCGGGGTTGGTTCCGGACGACCAGCATCAATCAAAGAGAGAGGTGTTTTGGTCCTTCAACCCTTATTCCTTCTTATGAGGAGCAGGTCGCGCTGAGACTTTTTCCTTAACGGGTAGAGGTCTTGGGGTCGCGATGCAGGCATTGCTATCCCCCTTATGTTGAAATCTGAGACTAGAAAAAAAGGAAAGTTCAATCTTTTGTTATTTCCATGGTCGGTCCGACGACCTTACATCAAGTTGCCTAGGGTCCCCTGGCTATGCAATGCAATATTTAATCTTCAAAACACTCAATCGCATGCTATTTCCAAGGCTGACTTCTCATGGCTGGTCCGACAACCTCTCATCAACAAGGCCACCCACATGGCCGGTCTGGCGGTCATTTTCTCAATAGTCATTTCTCAAGACTGCCCCCTCCGCCTATTCACTCCTAAATTCTCCCATTCCTCAGCACCTAATCTCTGTGACCGTCCCAACGGTCCCTGCCCTTCTCGGCTTTAAGGCTCCGCCTTCTTTATCCTGTCCTTCTCATTCATATCTTCCTTCCGCCCCCTTGGCTATTTTAGTGGCCGACCCACCGGCCTTTTCCATCTCTTTCATTCATCCCATTGGCTATTTCAATGACCGACCCACTGGCCTTTTTCATTTTTCTCATCCCAATTTCAATGACCGATCCACCGGCCTTTTCCATCTCTCTCATCCATCCTTTGGCTATTTCAATGACTGACTCATCGGCCTTTTCCATCTCCTATTGCTCATTCCAGCTCATTCTCAATCAACCTTCCTAAATTAAATATGCAGGGGACCCCAGTGCCTATTTCAAAAGGAATGACCCTTGCCAGGGGCCATTCCCGAACAACCTGGTTAGGGTCGTTCTTTTCCATTCTCAAGTCGAACAGCCTGGTTAGGACCATTTCTTTCCATTCTCAAGTCGAACAGCCTCGTTAAGGCCATTCTTTTCCATTCTCAAGTCAAACAGTCTGGTTAGGGTCATTCATTTCCATTCTCAAGTCGAACAGCCTGGTTAGGGTTATTTCTTTCCATTCTCAAGTCGAACAGCCTGGTTAGGGCCATTCCTTTCCATTCTCAATGTTAGCGCCCGAAGGGGTGGGCCTCGAGGTTACGGATCCCATTTCTGTCTTGGAGGTTAGAAGGTGGCCATCTCATCTTTTGCGTGCTGTTCTCTTTCTTTCATTTCTCACAGTAATGTACCATCCATTCCATTTCTCACAGTAGTGTACTATCCATGCATACATCCGACTTACCGTCTAGCACTCGAGTTGGGGCTCGCGACCCCAAGCAGCACTAGCTCACCCGACCGTTCACCACAGCAAGAGACAGGGGCGCCCCCTTTTTTCTTCACTCGTTCCGACAACTCAGATCTTGACCATTCTCAGACTAATTCATGACTCAGTCGGATTAGGCTCCTAGGGAAGGAGTGTTCTTCATGCCCTTTACTTGACCAATCATTCAATGCCATGCTTCGCTCGTCAATTCGTACTCAAAGTTTTCCCCTCTCGAAAGCATAATCCTTATTCCATCCAGAATTCACAATACACCCTCTCGCAATTGGTCTCATCCCAAATCCCATGTCTTTGTCTTATGTACCCAAGGTAGCTTATTAAAAAAGTAGCCTAAAAAACTATCTTTTATCTTATCGTGACACAGCCTTAGTTGGTCCTCTTTTCACTTAATCCTTAGCAAGCTTGCCCATACTGTACACGTTTTCGTCATTCTCATGTCTCCGCAGACTGAAAAGCAGCGATCCTTTTCAATGCTAAGTCAACACCTAGTTCCTATTGTTGCCTTGCGCCTCGTCTTGCCCAGTCCTTGGTCCACCCTGTTCCTTGGCAGGCTTTCTAACCCTCAGGCCGTAGGTCTCGATTTCTCTTTTCATGCTTACGATTTTTCGTAACTCTGCCTCGTTGAAAAAATTCAGTGGTGTGGCTTCCACCCCTGCCCTTGCGAGTTCCCGAGTCTTGATAATCCATTCGTGTCTGATCATATTGGTCCATTGTTGAAACCAATGACTGGGCGTTGGCCCAAACTCGTCCTCCCATCTGAAAGCCCCGTCGCCCGGCTGGTGCATCGGAGGCCGCCCCTCTTCCCTAGGCCTCGAGATCTCATCCCTCTTATCCCCGCTGCTGATTTCTATGACTTCTCGCACGTCCTCCTCCTCGTCCTCTTCGTCTTCTGTCTATATCGGGCTATATTCACCCGCAAGGTTCTTTGGATCGTAGGTAAAAGGAATCTCTGTCCCCGTTCCATACCCCTCGCAACTGTCGTGGCCGCTTCGTCCTTCAAGCGGACTCTCCCTTCTTTCCTCACCCTCCTCATATTCGTTGCACATGTCTTGTCCCCCCTCGCTTTCCTCATGCCAAGTCTCACGTCGCTTGCCCCTGTTGACTCCTTCCTCATCAGAGACCTGAACCTTATTTCCCATCTCTGCATTGCCTCCCTCTTCCACTTCTGCCTTTTTCTTCCCTCCCTCACAGTCAGACGAGATTTTTATACCTTCTCCCTCGCGGAGGGGTGAGGGTTTCCTACACAAGCATCTCCTTCCTCCCCTGCCTACCACTGGGCCACCCATGAGTCCTATGTACAACTTTCTTTTTGCTGCTCTCCTCCCTTGGCTTGGTCCTGCTTCCTCCCCTCCGGTAGGCGTGTTGATTGCCCCGCTGTCATTTTCGTCACCGAGCTCCATCTTCTCTTTTTTTTTTTTTTTTTTTTTTTAGACCCTGTATAACAAAACAACACCCGCAAAGCCCCTCATGCACCCATTCCCCCAGTCTGGCAGGTAGTCCCCCCCCTTTTCCCAGAATGCTCCTAACATCCTTCGCAACATGCCCCTATTATACATGCGAATGCGTCGTTTGTGATGTCCCCATTTTTTTCCCGTCAAAAACTGTGGTACAATGCCCCAAACATCCCTTCCCGTTGTCACACAGGCCAGATATTGCAAACCCCCAAGTCACGCTGCCTTTCAACCCCAGTCATACCAAGCCAAAGTGTCAGTCCCCCCAAAAAATGACTATCCCACGAACATGGTCAGAGACAAACCATAGTGTGGGCAAGGCTGTGGTCAGTCTTTAGCTTGTGGCTCCTCAGTTTCCTTATCTTCGGCCTCCTGAAGCCATTGTTCCACTGGGTCCCGACTTAGAAACCTGACCAGTCGTTGCCCCTGGAAGGGCCCTTTCAATCCAGTTTCATCCAAATCTTCCAGTTCGAAGGTTTTCAGTCCCACCCGCTTGGCGACCCGGTAGGGGCCTTTAAACCTCCTTCCCAACTGTCCCGACCAAGTACTTTCTAGTGCCGAGTTCCTTAGCAATACCATTTTCCCCACCTGAAGTGGCTCCTTTTTGACATTCTTAACCTGGTCCCACCTTGCTTTGTCCCTCATTCTGTTGTCCAGCACCCGGTTGGCGATGTCTTCCATGACCTCCTAATTCTTAAGGATTTGTTGACATCTTGCCTCGATTAACTCTTCAGTGGTCATTTGCGGATCATCATCTAACCTATTCCAGGTAGGTACCAAGGCTTCCACAGAAAAGTCGATCTCTCTTCCGTACCAAAGTTCTGCCGGGATACATCCTGTTGTCCTTTTAGGGGTCATATTCTCTTCAAAGACAGCCTGCTTAAGATACCTAGGCCAGTTCCCCAGATGGTCCGCTGCGAGTTTTGCAATCATGTTTTTCAAGGTTCGATGCCCCCTTTCCACAGGTGCATTGGCCTCAGGGTGATACGGCTCGATGAGTTTGATCGGTACGCAGAGTCTCTTAAGCATCCCCAAGACTTCTTGGTTCACAAACTCCGTCCGATTGTCTGCTATGAACCTCCTGACGAACGGATGCCTCAAATAGAAGTCTTCTATCCAGTCCGCCACACTCCTCCCCGTCTTTTTCTTGAGGTAGACTGCCTCCACAAACCCACTCAAGTTGTCTCGCGCATCTATAATGTACCTGTACCCATCCATTGATACGGGCATGACCGCAAGGTCGAGGTGAACCAGATGTCCCGACCCTAGCACCCGCGTTAGTCTAAGCGGCTCGAAGACCCGCACCGAGCTTCGTTCTTGGCAAATAAGGCAAGTTTGGCAGTATATGGCGACCATGCCTGCCATGCCTGGCCAATAATAGAGTGGCGTCATCTTTGCAAACGTTCCTTTGGACGACCGATGACCTCCAGCCAACCCATCGTGCATTGCCTGGATAACATCTACTTGCCTAGATCTTCCGCACACAACCCTTCTGGGCATAGCACCTTCCTCCCTTCGGAACAAATGCCCGCCCCTTAGGACGTACCTTTCGGCTTCTTCTCTTGCTTTAATACTGACTTTCGTAGGTTGTTTGTTTCCTACCAATAACAGCCCGATCTCCCGAAAGAGCCCTTCGTATGATTGAACATAGAAAAACTCCTCTCCTTCCTTGCCCCCATCCTTTCTTCCCTACATTTGGTTTCCACCCATTGCAACTCTTTCCTTTCCCTCGACCGCCATTGCTATTAGTTCCTCTTTCGGTCCTACTATCGCTCCCCATGAGTCATTTTCTTCTCTGCGCCCTCGAGTGGTAAGTGGTCCTTCTCTAAGTTCTGCTACTACGGCAGGTGCCACCTTCTCCAAAGTCTGGATCAATAGTTCTCCCGATGTGCATCCCCCGTTTATCATTTCGTTATCCACCGCGAGAGTCCCTCCTTCGTATTCGAGGAATGCGTCTATGATCTCTGCATCCTCCATGCCTTCGGGAGTGATGCAAACCCGACTCAGCCCATCTGCCTTGTTGCGGATTCCAGCAATCCGTTCGATTTTGTAATCGAACTGCCAGATGAATCCTACCCATCTCCCTACCGTCGGATCTATAGGTCTGTAATTCTTTAGAGCCCCTGCGACATTCGTCGGATCGATCCTGAGGATGAACCGCCTCCCAAATAGGTAGGCCTGAAAAGTCCTAAGACAGTGCAAGATGGTTAGGACCTCCTCCTTGAACTGTGAGTACCGTCGTTCTGCGAAGTTCAGGGTTCTACTTTCGAACCTCCTCGGCCTCTCTTTTCCTCTCTCATCCCTTTGAATCAACACACCTCCCACGGTCAAAGGTCTTTCATCCGTCTCTAGGATGAAGGGTCGTCCCACTTCGTCATTAAAGCAAGGTGCGGACAGGGCGACTGTCTCAGATGTCAATATGTCCTTGAGCCTTTGGACAACTCCTTCTCGCTCTTCCGTCCAATCCGTGGTTCCTTCTTCCCTCATCATAACCCGAATAGGCTCAGCAATCTTGGCAAAGTTCTTAATGAAGATCCTCCAAAAGCCCACTACGCCTAGCAATGCCCTTACCTCCATTGTCGTGCGCAGTGGTGTCGGCCACTGTGATATCTTGTCGGTCTTTGCTGGATCCGGCTTCCTGCTGTAAGCACTGCAACGAAATCCTAGTATAGTTACCTCCGGTACTGCTAGGATACTCTTTGGTCCACTAGCCGTAATGTTGTATACTAGAAACCGGCGGAGTAAATCCTTGATGTCTTTCAGGTGGTCCCACACAAAACATCGGATCTCTGACTGGACTTCCGTCTCGTCCTTCTCCTGCGTGCCTTTGATCGGATTGTCATCGATGTAAGGCTCACACTTTTCTGGGAACATGTCCCCGGCCACGGCGAGCATCCTGCGTTGCACTTCGGCCACCTCACTTGCATCTGTAGTTGGCACACGGGGTTGTGCATAGCGGTGTATGGCCTGTCCCGAACGTACAACGGAAGATGGTCGTACCCTTAGTACAGATCTATCAGGGAATAAATGCTCCGACCGGCGTGCGATTCCGCTAATAAGTCAGCCCAAGGTAGCGAGCCAGCATCCCGGATGGTTACCGCATTCAACTTCTGCAGGTCCTGAGTTCACCTTAGTGTCTTGTTAGGCTTCCGAAAGACGAACCATCGATTTGCGTATGGCGATGTCGTAAGCTCCGCAACGAAGGAGTCCATCTTTGCTCGGAGGAGATCTGTTACTTCTTCTGTTATCCCAAATTCATAGGATGACCCCTTGTCATTCCAACACTCATGTTCCACCGTGTGGATTCTGACTGGAGGGATCAACTTCGCATCCAATCGTCCCTTCTGGTGATCACTAAAGGCAAATGCCAGGTGAAACTCCTGGCAGGTCCTTTTGATCAGGCGGGTTTCTTCTTCCGTTAAAAACCCGTCTATCCCTATCTTCATTGTGTCAGCTACCTCATCTGGTATCCGATGTCCCTCCATCGTTCTTCTTTCTCGGAGCACTCGAAGGACCTCTTCCTCCTTCTCCATAGCCTCTTCCTTTGATGTCTCTAGCAGGATCGATACTGGTTTTGTTTTTTTCCCTACCGACTTGTACTTTCGAACATTTCCTTCCGGGATCTTTCTCCTAAAAAATGAACAGTCGGAATCGCCCCCGTCGCCTCTACAACTCGTGGTTGAATACTAACTAGTTTCTCATTCAGGCAATATCCCTTTTGCACCTCTCTTTCGAACTTGGCCAAGGCTGCCGAATTCACTCCTTCTTTGTGGTAACTGAGGGCCTTGATGAGTTGTAACAGATCGGGGATCTCGAGTGCGATTTCTGACACATCTATGCGCACTTCTTTCCGTTTGGGCAGGCTAGCACCAAGTTCGATCTCTGACTCCTTTTCCGCTACCATAACACCTAGGACATCGTCCTCCTGCCTCCTTTTTTTCTGGGGAAGGCCCATCTTGATCCACTCCTTCTTGTTGAATGCTTCCTCAATCATGATTTCTATCATTTCTCTCATACCCTTCATCCGTGCGAAAGCCCCTTTTCGCGTGCTATCCTCGAACGACGGCGACCATGTTGCCAATTTCCCCTTCGGGAGGTCTCCTCCCGTTCCAAGGAGTCGGAGGAGCTCTCCCCGGCCGGTCACAGGGTCCTCTATGTCTACCATGTATGAGCCATCGTGCAAGTGCATGCCTATCATCTCCACGTTCGCGCACCACAGTCTCCCGAGGATTATGTCGTGGTCCATCTCCTCCATTACGGTCATCCTCTTAAACGACCAGATCGATTCCCTGACCCCTGCCTTTACAGCACACTTCGTGACGTACCCAACGAACGGGATTTTCCCGCCAGCTCCCCGGATGCTCCCTGTTACTTCCTTGTTTACTATACGTCCTGTGATCGTTGCGAAATCTCTTCTTATGAGAGTGATTTCTGCTCCCCCGTCTACTAATGCGTTGGTATGACGACTCCCGATCTGGATTTTCAGTTTCCCTACGGGCAGCGCATGAAAACTAAGTTTCGTCCCGGGCGGTGATCTCATGACTTCGCCACCCTCTCGGTCGGGCAAGCTCAAACGAATGTCTGCAAAGGCCTTTTCGAGATCCTCCAAGTCCCCGTGACTCCTCTGAAGGTTAGCCACTTTTTGCGGAGCTTCCTCCTCCCTCTCCCCTTCTGGTAATTCGGGGTTGTCGCCTATTTCTACTCGCCTCCGAGTGAACAGTTGTCTGACCCCTTTGAGCAACCTAGGGCTAGCCTGCAGCATGGTCTAAAAAGACACCGACACCCTGGTTCCTAGTAACTTGCTAATGGTGTCGTCGAGCTCAGGCAAGGTTAAGATCGGGATCATCATCAACGAAAAAAATTCCCAGAATTAAATATTCATTCTATAGTAAAATTACATTCTAAATTTTAAATTTTCATTCCATCTTAAAAAATGTCATTCCAATTTTAAAATTTTTCGTCGTACTTGAGAACTTTCCTTCCAAGAATGGGGTATCCCTTCTTATTTGAACTGCATGCTAAAGATGGAATGAAAGTCTGGATGAGTTCATGAAACATTTTAATTGGACTGTCATTCTAAGTAAGGATTTTCAGTCATAAATAGGTTAATCCAATCTAATTTAGAAGATATTTGTTGTAGTAGAATGAAAGTTTAATTAAAACATTTCATAAACTCGTCCAGAGTTTCATTCCATCTTGAACAAATAGATGTAGTTGGAAGGGAAAACTCATATTTAGATGGGAACTTATCAAATAAAACTGCAAATTTTAGAATTGGACAAACATCGGAATGATAATTTAAAAATATGAAGGATTTTTTTTTTTATGGAATGTTTTTTCAACTTTCATTTCTCGCGGAAATTTTTCTGTTCATTTGATACCGAAACTTCTTCTTAGCGGCGGTAACCTTGTCCGCAGGCTCCTCTTCCATAGGCTTCCCATAGACTTTCTCTGGTTCCTCGGCCTCAGGCTCTGCGTGGGGTTCGGAGCTTCCGGCGACCTCCTCCATAATGGTGTCACGGCTAATCCTTCTCCCGGTCGTTCCCAGTCGAGTGGTTGCGTTCACCCTATCACGTCCGTCGCCTTCCAAAATAAAGTTGGCCTGCGACCCTCGCCCCCGGAGTTGATCCCATATGATCTAGCCCACCGGTTCGGTTTCTACGACTATTATTTCTAACCCGTTGAGCATGATAATGGCTCGCCGCATCCCTCCTGGCGAGTTCCAGTTCATTTGTTCCCCTTGTGGTCCAAATATCTCCCCCCTTAATGACCTGGTACACCTTCTTTTCAGAATATCATGGTTGAGCTTTGGGCACGTGCGCACATAATATCCTATCACGGTACAGTATTTGCATTACTCGTTAGCAGGATCTCTCCGTCTGAATCCCCGGTTTGCTACACCTGGCGGAACCACAGCTTCCTGGGGAGGGAGGGCAGGTCGGAATACTTGCGCCTGCATAACCAGTAGCGCGCCTTCCATCCTTTCAATCTCATTGTCGACCCCGTGCACCCGTTCCTGTAGACTTTTAATCCCCTTCTTTACTTTGTCGCCCGTCCTACCGGTCAGATCTATGATCTCTCCTTCCTTGAGCAAGGCCAAGGTCTCTGTTACTACCGTTTTCTCAGCCAGATCCGTTACCGTGCTAAAATTAACATCCCGCGTGTTTACGAACTTGCTCGTCTGTTGGTAAGATGACAGGATCTTGTCTTTGTCGAACTCGGAGAACTGCCTGAGGAAATATTTGCTCATTATCCGGTCCGTGACCCCGGGGATCCTTAGTGCTACTAGAGTAAATTCTCGTAGGAAATCATTGTACGTTGCAAAGTTCTTCCTCTGAACTGCCGCTAGGTCGGCCTTCGTTGCCATTTTTTCTGCTGCTAGGTACTTCCTCATCATCACATCCCGGGTCTCCTTCCAAGACCGGCTTGTGGCTACAATGGCCATTATGTCCCGTCCTAGGCTTAACGACACATGCTGTCCTAGGTGGTCCATCTTTTCCTCATCGGTCCACTTTAGTAACACAACTAGGTTCTCGTAGTCGATCAGAAACTCCGTGATGTTTGCTCCGTTGAAAGTCAGCTTTTTCTTGGCGTCCGCCAGATAGCCTTGATTTTTGTTTAGTGCTCGTGCGAGGGCTGACACTATGTTTTTAAGGCCGGCCTCAGAGCTGCTGGCCTCGCCTGCCATACTATTATCCGGACTTTCCTTGCCGGCCTTCTGTCCCTCCCTGATTTTCATAGTTCCTTCCAGGTCAAACCATCCCAACGCTCTTTCCCTAAGGCTCCAAAGTCCTTCGCATCCTCGTGCTACTGCCGACGTGATCGGCAGGCGGCTAGCCCTACTATCCATGGCCGGCGGAGTCGTAGCCTTTTCTGCTTCCATCCCCGAAGAGTTCTCTCTCTCTTTCCTTCTCTTGCTCGACGTTCCCCCACGGTCATTACCTTTATCCCCTTGTCCAGTCTCACCTTGGCAGGCTTTCCGGTCGTCCCGGGGTTCCTCCTGCAGAGGACCTTCCTCGTTCCCAGTCATCATTTCCTCAATCAATCTTGCCTTGTATTCCGCGATCCTCTTGTCTATCTCGGCTAGTATGCGTCTCGTATCTGTGACCCTTGCTTTCTTAGGCATGGCTCCTTCCGAGTTTTGGGGGCTTGTCCTATCCTTATTTCTGCCTTCCTTGGTCCTCTGGGTCCCTTGCCTGCTTCCCCCGGCTTTCCCCGAGCTTTCCCCTGTGGAGATTTCCTTCCGGTTCCCTTTGGTACCATCCAGATTTATTGATTCTTTGTCCTTCTGCCCCCCTTCGCTTTGCGCGGCACTGCCTTCTAAGTCTGGTTCTCCTTCACTCTTACGGTTATCTGTCTCCTCCTCCGTTGCCATTTTGCCTAGTTCTGCATAAGCCAAAGAATTCCCAGGACACACGCAATGCGAGGTATTTAGGTCCCCTAGGCTCCCAGCTCTGTTGGCTTATCTTTATAGTCTCCCTTCCTATCCCTGTTTCCTGATTGCCCATCCTTAAGGAGGAGCCACGATTGGCCCTGCCACCCAGCCGAGCTATGAACGTGACTGGGCTTCCTTTATCACAAGCTCGTTTGTAGTGCCATTGTCCCGTCGGCCGACGCGAGGGAGTCCGGGTTAGGCATCCTGCTAGGGGAAGTCTTCCCGAGCAACGTTTCTCGTTTTTCACCTTCAGGGTTATGGTCAATCATTAGGAGTCTGTCTCCCCCGTTCTTTGTTTTTCTAGTGGGTTTTAGCCATCCACGTCCGAGGTCTCTTTCTTATTCCCATCGGCAAACTTCCGTACGCAGCTAACTATACTCAATCTGCCCTATTGACCCGCCTGCGGATGCTAATCCCGCTCTCGCTCTCGCGGCTCTTCTAGTTCGGTAGGCTCCTCGAATAGTTGAGCCACCCCCGTTAGATAATTCTCCCCTATCTCGATTTCCCTTTGGACTATGCGTTCACACCCTGTCCTGTCTAGTCGGGGCGCACAAAACATCAGGATGTGGATGACTTCTAGTAATTCGTGGGCCCTGTTTCCCCAGAACGGCCCGTGCTCCACAGCGACATCGTAAAACATCCCAATGGTAGGGGAGGGAAAGTGGCCTGCCCAGACTATCGCTGAGTCTGCCAGCCCCCGCGCCCTTGCGAGGCTTCCGAAGTCGAGGTCTATCATAAAACGGGGCACTCGGCATCTCAGCGGTGTGGTCGGTGCCCTGAACTCCCTCCAACCTCCCATTTCCACCCGGGTTAGCAAGCCCACGTTCCTTCTTCCCCTGGCCAATTGTCCTATCCGGGTCAACGTCCGGGCGGCCCTTCGAAAGACCGGCGCCAGCTCGTGACCTTGTGCTATCTCTACCCCCAACGAGTACCAACCGATCTCAGGCAGATACATGGTCCCGGTAACTTCCAGATTGGAAAACAGATCGTCTCCGGGTCCTCGGTTGAGTCTCATCCCTGTCCACCGACATTCTACCAACATGAAGGCGGCGTCCCTTCCCAAAGTAACGGCCCGCCATTCTGTGTCGAACCCCCGATAGGTAGAACTCGACGGGAGGGATACTCCCATCGTCCACCGTTGTTCCAGGGCGGTCAGGGGTACCGGGGCTGGCGTTCCATGCGCTCACGTTTTGCTGCCATTGTTACCTTGGTGATTCCCTGCATAGTCCACATAGAAAGGGTTACAGGCAACCTTCAGAATCCGCCTACGTACTGCCTCCCTTGCTCTTCGTGTTTTCATTTCCCTTTTCTAGTCCCAACTATCCCTCTATACCCCCGGGAGCAGTAGCCTCATCTGGCTGTTCGTACAGCCGGTAGATATCATCTATGTAGGTCGCGCCCCGACCTACCTCTCGCTGGATGACTCTCCACATGGTCTCATCACTTATTTGCGGGACTCCTGGCCTAGTATTCATCGCTGCTCGTAGAATGCAAAGCACCTCGCGCCCTTGTTCGTCCCCGAAAGGCCCCATCTCTAGGAAGGCCCGATAGTATTCTCGATACATTAATGCTTCGTCAAAATTTAGCCTAGTTACGACAGTCACCGCCTGCTCCACTCGTTCTATGCCTTCCATTCGTCTTAGCAGGAAGGGTGGTAGACTCATCCGTATGACCTAATTTGGCAACTCGAAAACCCCCGCCACGACGACTTTTACCTCCGCCGTTACGTCATCTCGTTCCGGGTCTGCAAACTCAAACCCCTCCCGCCAGGTTATTTGTCATGCCCCTTCGAACATTCGTACGGGGTCATCCCCGGAAGCCAAAGCAATCCCAAAGGTCCGCCGTCCCTCTTCCGACAGGTGTAAGGATCCCGTCGCATGTACACGCCCTGGGAGGTTCAAGTCCATACCCCCGAACTCCCCTCTCGCAGGCCATTCCAGCTCCACTACTAGGTACACCGTATCTTCCACCAACTCTACCCCCACCCAGTCCATTACCGGATTGCCTACCGTATTTCTTGCCGGCAGGCTTATTTCAACCCTGCCCTCTGATATTCTTGGTGGCAGGATCCCACGAGGTCTATCCTCTCAGATCGTCATTCCCCGGGTCATCTCGCAATGTCTCCTTTCCGGCTTTCTTAGTCCGATTGCTGCACCCACCGAGATTCCATGCCTTTCGTGTTTTAGTCTTTCAGCCCTCCCTATTTATCGTACACTGATTCTTGCTGCTATCCACGACTCATACACATACAATTCTACCCCTCCCCCCTTTTTCCGGTTGCTGCCACTTCCTCCTTGTTTCGATCCTTATGCACCTTCTACGGCCTAATGTACACACCCGCTTTCTTATGTTACACCTCGATTCACAAGCACCCTCCACACTCAGACCTTTTCGTGGTGATCGATCCCTCGTCCTTGTTTAGTCGAACCATAGTACCTCAAATAGTTTAAAGACATCGTCTACGTAGGAGGGTGCGGCCGCCGCCTCCCGGCTAATTATGGCGTCCCAAAACTCCGCCTCTACCTCCAAGCGGTCATACCTGCCTATTCTTAGGACGATGATGACTTTCTCGGCTTTATCTCCGTAGAAGGGCCCATATTTCAATGAGAGCCTATATAACTCCTCAGTCAGCCAGACACACTCTATATGCATCTTTCTCATGGAGTCAGCTACTTCTAAAATGTGCTCAAACCTCCCAAACCACTCGGCTGTGAACTCCGGTACCGAAGCCGTTATCCGTAGACTTGGAGGCTTAAGCTCCTTCCATCCTCCCATCACAACTCTGCTACTAACTTCGTCTCATCCCTCGTTGGCGAACAGTTTGCCTTCCTTTCGGGTTCGGGCATCTGCATCCCCTAGAAGCCACATCGGGTCTTGTCTCATTGCTAACAAAGTGCAAAACAGGGGTCACTCATCCTCGGAAAGGACAATCGTTCTGACTGACTCTACATTGCATTCTGCTACATCATCCCAACCTTCCTCTTCCCTTATCGGGTTCCAAATCCGCTCTATCCATACATATGACAAGTCCCGGGCAACCTCAAACCCAATCCAAGCGCACGTGGTCCCTCTCCATCCGTTTTCCATTGGTATAGGCATTTTTATTCCTTCTCTGAGTCGCCGTGGTTCCCAACCTTTGAAGGGGTATTCCATCATCCTTTCTTCTCTAGTCATCTTTCCCTTTCCTGCACAATACCAGGCCACCCGTCCTCCCTAAGCTAAGTCACCCTACCCTTCTTAGAAGTCTCAGTTCTCTATCTCTTCATCTTTATCTTCATCACTGAGGTCGTCCTCCTCGTCGTACACCAATTCTCTTACCCCATCTAGAAACGTCTCCCCTATTGCCACATTCTTGTAGACTATCCCCCAATGCACAACGCAAGGGACAAAGATATTGTCTATGCTAAGGCAGTTTAGTATCTCGGCCAGCTTCTCCGCCCAGTTCCCCTCAAACGGCCGCATCTCTACCGATAACCGAAAAAAATATTGCCTAGCGCATTGGTACAACCCGAGGTTCGTCATGGACCGGCATATTTGCGCTAGCCTGCTCCGAGTTCCGAAAACCGCATCCACTAGGAAGGGGGGCAACACACATCGCATGGTTCTTACAGGTCGCCTCATGCTTCCTCTATCCCCAAGTTTCACCCGTACGTCAACCTTTTCCATTTTCATTTCCCTCCGTTGACATGCAGCCCACACAACCTCTGCTTCTGCCTTCCTAAACAACTCGTCCGGCGTATTTCCGAGTGTCAACTCTATGATCATAGCTTTCTCCCCATCTTGCGACAAGTAGACCCACCCCCGGGCTTCCACTGTCCCTCAGAATTCCAAATCCATTAAACTTGGCGACAACCTCGTCAGGCTGACATTAGTCCATATTGTTTCTATCCAAAGGAAAACATCCTCTCCTTCCAGCATTACCGTTTGATATGTCGGTTCAAGGTCCGTCCACGTTCCATTTTCCGGGAGGACGACCGATACCCCATCCTTTACATCTACTGGCATTTCCGGGCCGCTAGTATAGATCGGGGAAGGCAACCATCGCGCCATCTTGTTTTCAGCACCCGACCCCTGTTTTCATAAAAAGGCACCAACCGATCCTTTTGGTCAGGTCAACCCTTGTCCTAGATGAGAATTATTTCAGACCCCTCATCAAGGTCTCCCTATTTTAACTCCCCTTTTCTAAGTACCCCCTTCCTATAATTCCCTCGGCCTGCCATCCATTTGCCCACATTCTTTCTCTTCGTTCCATTCCAATTAACCTCTATCCTCCTTCCTTCCGATCGTCTCTCACTCGTGTGGACTTAGAAGGGAGGGGGAATAAACTTAGAAGAGTGCCCGTCCAATAATCCAAGCTCAATCAATCTTTACGGGGGGGGAAACACATATAAAAAAAAATAAGGCAACCTCACATACAAGCCGGTCATCTCCTCACCGGCCAAACCCAATATGGTCTCTCCGCTGGTACTATCGGTAGAGTTTTATCCCATACCTGAAGCGCAGCTCAACCGTCGCGAGCGCGGTACCCAGGTCTCGGCAAGGCATTTGCCCTTTCCTCCTTACCCAGAATACCCCATCCCGTCAAGCCGCTTTGCACATCCATACCGACACCGAGGGTTACCTCGAGTGCCTAAATACAGGGACAAAGTCGGCCGTCCGGGGATTTACTTCCATCGGTCCGACAAGAATCAACCTTTCCCAAAACCATGCTACGAGAGGCTACTAATCGCCTTCGAGGCTCCGTCTTTGTCCGCATGCAGTGGTACTCCCTCCGTCAGCCAACAGGTTAAGCCCCGCCTGAGGAGATTTCACACCCCGCCTAGCAGATCATCGAGCCAAAGTCCGTCACCGCTCGAACGAGAATGCTACTAATATACCGACGTGACAAACTACCGTCCGACAACTCGGTGGCCTGACCTCCACATACGAACACACGGCAGCCTACAAAAGAGAACGACGTTTCGCAACCCGCACTGGCCGGCGCAGACCAATCCTTTCCTTCCGAAAGGCAGGACGCTCGAATCCCATCATGCAAACACAAGTCCCAAGACGGACACACATAGTACAAGTATCATTCCCTTGGTGCACCCAGTGCTTCCTACCCATAACTCACATATTTTCTCTCAGGACAATGAGTGTCACTCCCCCTACTTTCATACATAGTGGTTGGTTCCTTCTCGTGAGAATCTTCAAGGGTAAGCTAGTTTTCCTTGGAGTCTAGCAACTCCCTTCATTTCCCTTCTCTTTACTTGTCTGTCCTTTCATAGGGTAGGATTGTTCTTTCTTGATGACCCGTTGTGTTCATATTGGTTCCTTCAATCATTAAAAAGGTGCAAAGTACATGAGCCCGCTGGGCTCAAAGGAGAAGGGGAAAACACCCATTCGGTCGGATCACTCCGCCATGGGATTTTCATTGGAACCTGGCCTAAGCCAAGCACCAACCGCCTGCCAGGTAACCGGAGCCCTTCTTTCATACGAAGAGGAAGGGTCGACCTGCGACTTGTCCAAGGCTTCTCCGGACTGGAGAACACCAACACCGGACGAAGGAGGGCTAGAGCCATTCCTCAAAGGAACGGTTGATCAAGTGCATAGCATGCATGTTATACCTCCAAGCCTGGACATGCCATGCGCCCAGCCACCCTCAAATCTGATTTCTCACAAGGAAAAGAGCAAACACAAGTCCATTTTCCTTATCTTGGGTTGTGTATACGTCAATGCGTCGGGCGCCCCCGTCGAAATCGCAAGGGTCAATTTAACCCCATACCCGGCACCTCCACCAATTTTGTAGGGCCAAACCCCGGTAGACTTTCCAGCCTTAGTTGACCCCACTGCAGGTCCCAGTTGGCTCGGCCCGCCCACACTCATGCTCAGGGCGCGGGCCATTTGTCCCAGGGTCACCCCCAACTATAGCTTTGAGATTGATGAGGGTGGGCCATCGCGCGAGAGAGCTTTGACATTGGGGATGTAGCTCAGCCCTCACGCCGGGTGGTAGTCTCGCTGGTCGGTCCGCAACGCTGATTTTTTTTTTATTCTTTGTTGTGTTCTCATGCAATTGCTCCTTCCAATACGCAGACAGTCCAAGGATTCTTTGAGCGTTTTTCTTCTCTTATGCGTAGGCTAAATGTCATCCTTAGGCCACGCACCATTTCCCTAAGCAATGTGGGTATATGGCGTCATCGGGGTGTGGCGGAGCCGTCCTCCCCCTCGCCTCTGCGCATCCATCGGGTCTCATAATTTGTTGTTTTCCTTATTGAAGTAGACCCCTTAGTCTTGTCGGGGTCCTCATATGCATGCACACATAACATTACAGTTTCCTTGGTACGCTTGCACTCTCATTTACATTCCAAGTCCTCAAGCACAAAAGTCATTTTCGTGGGTTGGCTCTATGTCAAAGGTCACATAGCCCCTTTGTCCCTCTTCCCTTTCACTCTTGGTGCCCATCTCCTCTCGCCCCTATCCCGCTCAAGGCATTTTTAGCCATCACTCACCTGCACAATCCCATTCAAGCAAGGAGATCCATACAATCCTCCGTTGAGGGTCAACACATAGCCCTTCCCACATGCCTCTCCTTTCAAATCCTTTGGCTGCTCTTTGTTCCCTCTTGATGCTCAATCAGCCCATTCTCTTCTCATAGTCATGCAGTCGGGGAAATGGTTGAGTCAAACTGATCTCTCTCTTTAACTTATGCTTTCTCCGGATCTCGTCTTTCTCCCTCTTTTTCAAACGTCCTTTATTTTTTTGCCTTCTTGGTGGTACAAGGGACCGGCTATCCTCCCCTTGTCCTCTTTCTCCACTAAGTAAGGTATGATTTCGGTCACCGTCCGTACCCTGGCAATGTTTTCCAAGTGACTATAGAAGGGTTAGTCATACGCTAAGTGAGGGGACGGGAGAGAGGTAGAGTGAAGGGGAGGTGAAAAGGGGGGAGGAGAAAGAGAGGACTCGAGAAGGAGGGGGGGGAAAAGGGCGAGATAGAGAAGGAGAGGGAGAAAGAGAGATGTGACGGGGGAGAGGTAGAGAGAGATACAGAGAGGGAAAAGAAGGCCTTCTAGTCAAATCAGCTCCCCGCAGCAGCAACCAAACATCGATCATCCATCCCATAGAAAAAGGTTGACTAATTAAATCGTGGAGTATTATGCACGAACGTGACAATGAGAAGCTAGATCAATGGAAAACACATGCACCAAGAGAAAAGATCAACAAGGTAAGGATCCGGAATACGAACTTGACAATGAGTGACAAGACTAGTGGAAGACACATGCACAAAGAGAAGAGCTCAACTACGTAAAGATCCGGAACATGAACTTCAACAATGAGAGACTAGACTAGTGGAAGACACATGCACAAAGAGAAGAGTTCAACAAGGTAAAGATCCGGAACATGAACATCACAACGAGAGACTAGACTAATGGAAAACACATGCACAACGAGTAGAGATCAACAAGGTAAAGATCCGGAATGTGAACTTGACAATGAGAGACAAGACTAGTGGAAAACACATGCACAATGAGTAGAGATCCAACAAGGTAAAAATCCGAAACATGAACTTGACAATGAGAGACTAGACCAGTGGAAAGCACATGCACAATAAGTAGAGATCAACAAGGTAAAGATCCGAAATGTAAACTTGACAAGGAAGGATTAGACTAGGAGAAACACATGCACAAAGGAGAAGAGTTCAACTAAGTAAAAGTTCCGGAACTTGAACTTGACAATGGGAGACTAGACTAGTCGAAAGCACATACACAAGGAGAAGATATCAACAAGGTAACGATCCGGAATGTGAACTTGACAATGAGAGACTAGACTAGTGGAAAGCACATGCACAATGAGTAGAGATCCAACAAGGTAAAGATCCGAAACATGAACTTGACAATGAGAGTCTAGACTTGTGGAAAACACATGCACAATGAGTAGAGATCAACAAGGTAAAGATCCGGAATGTGAACTTGACAAGGAAGGATTAGACTAAGGGAAGCACGCGCACAAAGGAGAAGAGTTCAACTAAGTAAAAGCTCCGGAACTTCAACTTGACAATGGAAGACTAGACTAGTGGAAAGC